ACGTCCTTAATAGATGCGTCCTTTTATGTAGATTAGATTAACGTTTCCATGTAAATACGTCCTTAATAGGCGTGTCTTTTTATGTAGATCAAGTTAACGTTTCCATGTAAATACGTCCTTAATAGACGTACCTTTTTATGTACATCAGGTTAACGTTTTCATGTAAATACGTCCTTAATAGATGTGCCTTTTTATGTAGATCAGATTAACGTTTCCATGTAAATACGTACTTAATAGATGTGCCTTTTTATGTAGATCAGGTTAACGTTTCCATGTAAATACGTCCTTAATAGGCGTGTCTTTTTATGTAGATCAGGTTAACGTTTCCATGTAAATACGTCCTTAATAGATGTACCTTTTTATGTACATCAGGTTAACGTTTCCATGTAAATACGTCCTTAATAGATGTGCCTTTTTATGTAGATCAGATTAACGTTTCCATGTAAATACGTACTTAATAGATGTGCCTTTTTATGTAGATCAGATTAACGTTTCCATGTAAATACGTCCTTAATAGATGTGCCTTTTTATGTAGATCAGATTAACGTTTCCATGTAAATACGTCCTTAATAGATGTGCCTTTTTATGCAGATCAGATTAACGTTTCCATGTAAATACGTACTTAATAGATGTGCCTTTTTATGCAGATCAGGTTGTAAAATATCTGTTGTGAGAAAATAACGAAGTGTCCAAAATGTATCAAGAACATTTTTACTGTCAACAACAGTTGTGCTAAACGTTTTACATACAATGAATCGATATTTAACCCATTAACTGCTGCTTCGCCGTATAGGGTACGGTACGCCTCCAGAAGTTGAATGCGAGTGTGCTGTATACAGTGTACGGCTCGCAAAAATTCCGCGTGCTCTTAAAGCAGCCGCAGTCAAAGAGTTAATGCTATTTATCTCAAACTATTTCTGTCATTCTGTCTTTCCACAATACGGAATGTAGACCATTTTTCATAACACTATAGTGTGAAAACCTTTCATGTTTTAAAGTTTGTTGATTTTTAAGAGCTCGCAATTTTACAAAAAAAAAAACAAATTTGGAAAAAAACCAAGAAGAAGAAGAACAACAACAACAAAAAAAAAACGAAAAAAATTCTAATATTTTATAAAAGCATCTATAGTTGACCAAACAAAGATAACATGTTCAATATTTACCTGTCCCTCCCATCACTTCGGTTTATCTCGTCTGCCATGATTCGTTTGTTGGATTTAGCGTAAAAGCAACACAAGGGGTATCTACGATAACCGTTCCTAATTTTGAATTGACAGATGGGAGTAAAAGCACCTTGTCAACGTTTGGGCTATTGTTGTCATCATACCGAAAAGTGAGATTTGACTACTACTCTTATAATACACTCACGGTCCTAAAGTGCGGAGCGCGGTGTATATTTTGTTGTTGTTTTTGGCGGTAAGAAGGCGTGAATCCCAGCTTCACAGCTTGGCCCACTAACCAGTGGGACTTGTTTAGGCTGTCTATTTTGGAATCATATTTATAACGTGAACATTGTGAACAACGTATAACTTGTGTTGTTTTTATCTCTTCCAACGGACTAGCTCCGTCAGTGGCACAGCGATATGTCTGCGGACTTACAACGCTAGAAACCGTGTTTCGATACCCGTGGTGGGCAGAGCACAGATAGCCCTTTGTGTGGCTTTGTGCTTAACTACAAATAACCCTACGAACTAACCAATTCGTCTACGACTAATGGTGATTTACTTGAGATATATTCAAAATCGTTAAACGAATGTACATTGGTAAAAAAGGTACCTTGTTTCTTTCAGAGCATATTAACTTTTTCCCTCACAAACGAACAAATCTTGCCCATTAAACATGTAAGCTCAAAACAACGTCGTTCGGAGGTACTTATAGTGTGTGTAGAGGATAGCCCAAAAGTTAGTTGTCTCGTACTCAAACTCTTTCTCCGTGATGAATTCAAATTCGGTGACGAGGAACCCACTTTGAGACTAATAATGGCTGGAGACGGCTTGAATGGGTAATGAAGCCATTATTAAACTCTTTCTCCGTATATAACGTTTGGTTTGCAATACAAAACTCACTGATCCTTTGCTATTCTGCGAGCCATACTTATATATTTTACACATATAACAGCACATTATTCTGAAGTAGATGAAAAATAAAAAAAGAGCATTATGCTGCTCTTGGTTAACTAACCCTTTAGGTACCCTGATTTAGTTAGATATCTGCCCCCCTCTTCCCATCAGATGAATATATGTATGAACACCCAAAGAAGCATACATTACATATGATTGTTTACACCCATACATATATATATAGATAGAAAGTCCCATCTTGGGATGAACCATTGCTTTATTTCTGCTGGGTCTGAGATCCGGAAATTGTTTTGGATTTTATTTTTAAATCTAAAGACGGAAACACTATAATTAATTTAACACTGCCTTGGTTGCGTTGCAAATTGACATTTGATTGACTTAGTTAACTACATTACTCCATTTCAAATAATAGCCCCAGTAAAACGTTTAGATTGTTTTTCAGAACTCAAAATCCTAACCTATATCCTATATATCCTAACCTCTTCAGACGACAGGTTTGTTGCATAAATCAATGAACGGGTATCATTGAAACAACACCCCAACAACTTTGGCTGACATATTGTTAAGCTTTCTTCTTTACTTCCACTCATACTTTTTAAGGATTGCTTTCCTGCTTCAACATCCTTGAATGAATCAAAGGCGTTCTATATTGAAGAATGGTTTAATATTCCCGTTAAAAACCAAACAGAAATATTGCTAGGTTGGAAGATCCTGATGTAGCCGATGAACCAATATCGTATTAAACCTTTCTTAACAAGTGCTTCCATTTTTTCATTTCTTTTTTTTTGTCTAGTCCTTTGGTATGTTACGATTACAGATGAGACTAGAACATTACGGATAAATTCCATTTTATAGGATGAGTAGTTTAATTCCATAACGGTTCTTATCAGTTATATACTGCAGTTCGTACATATAAAAACGTCAAACTATTCATGATTCTGTAAAGAAGCATTTTTGTAAAAATGCACGACAGTCGCGTGGTAGTTGTATAACTCAACTATATCATTACCAATATAAAATACAGACAGGAGCTCAAGTAACGATTATTTGACATTCAGATACCATCTGGGGCATACAGTAAGTCTCAAGACTCATAACGCTAAAAACAGGGTTTTGATACCCATGGTGAGAAACACATATACAGCCCATTGTGTAGCTTTGTGCTTAATAACAACCAAAACAAAAAACTTGGGTTTATAATAATTATTATATGCAGTCACAAACAAGAAAACTATGGATATTGTAAAAGAAAGGTGTGTTGGAGTGGATGATGTCCCTACCTCCTCATACAAGGTATCGGAACATTGCTTCGAATCGTTCCAGGATAAAATACTACTGCCTCTGTAGCAAGATAGTAGAAAGTTCCCGTACAGTAATATTTAAGATAATTTAATAAGCTTCCCTGTGCTGTGAAAGTATAAAACTAGGTCTTTTAGTTTAGTAGAAAAATTATCCGCCGTTTTTTGAAACTTACTGCAATACACAGTGTTACTTTGAATTATTTCCGAGAGCTACCATTACCAAGTCTTCGAAGTTGGTGTTCTGAAACTGGCTAGGTTGTATCCTTTCGGATATACTGTTACGTATCTGCTTGTTTGTTAATTTCCCGTAGAAATTCTTTCCGAG